AAACCTAATATGGTTTCTTGTGTTTGTTCAAGAGACTCATTCTGTTTCTCATATTTTGGTTTTTTTTTTACGATATTAATTCACAACAAACTGGTGCGGTGAGCATGGAGGAGAGGATGTCGTCAATAAAGTATGGGATTGAGAAACTTACTAGTGTGAATGATTTCGGTTTGTGGCGCTTGAATATGCAAACCATTTTTGTTCAACAGGGTTTGCTAGAAGCTTTGAAAAAATTAGAGAAGATGGATGATGCCATATTGAACAAGGAGAAGACATTGTCAAGTAGCAATTTTTTCCACTGTATGTCGTTGATAAAGCTACGTGAAGAAAACTAGTTTGTTTCCTGGATGTTCTAGAGTTTATTTCAAGGTGAAGATTTGTGAGATATTGGATTGAACTCTAGTATGATCGAATGGTAGCTTTTTGGTTCGACAATTTGAAAGAATCTTAGCATGTCGTCAAAGTCTGTTCACATGTTATAGTCGAAGTATGTTATGAGTGTTAGCATGTTGATTTGGGCCTTGGTTGTAAGCCTAATTGTTTAAGTTAGTTTGTTCCCTAAGTTAGCTTGTGTAATGGGTTTGTCTGTAAAAGCCCATATGTTAATTTTCTTATAAATGACTTGCTAGTCTCTCATCTTTAAGGAGTGGTGCAAATCCTAATTAGGATGAAAGAGGTTAATTGTTGGTATTCACTTGTAATCTTTGAACCCTTATTGAGAAAGTGAATAGTAAAAGTAAAACAGTTTTAACCAATTCTCTATTATTCTTCTCCCTTCTTCTCTCCCTTTTGTAAAACCTAATAGGGTTTCTTGTGTTTGTTCAAGAAACTCAAATATTTTTCTTATTTTTTGATTTGTTCTTGATGACATAAATTCACAACAAGTGCTAATATTTCCCTTGCGTAATCAATACCCGAACCCGATTTTGGTTGTGACGACTATCTTCTTTTTCTTTGAAGGGTTTTATCGATATTTTTCCTTTCCTTTTGGAATAAATAAAGTTCGATGGTGACTCTATTCAATCCATTTTCGCGAACGCGCGAAAGTTTTGCCAAAGATCGTATTTTTCGAGATACAATTATCATCATTAATTTATATTGTAAGTGCATCATCCCTTTTCTAAACGGATCACTTTTCGAATCAATTCATAACAATAAAAAATCGATTATGTTATCAAGTTACAACATTCAATTGATGATTTTTTTTTCAAATTTTCAACTCTACGATTATCTTCTTTATCAAAACCCTCATTTATTTCAACTATACGTTTATTGTTCTTTATTAAAATCCTCATTTTTCATTAACAGATAAATTACAGCGTTCAGATTTTCCATTCAAAAGATAAAACTTTGTTTTATTCTTCTTATAATTGATTAGTTTTCAATTCCAAAATTATTTTCACTTCTCAAATTATTTTCATAACTTTCATATTTGTGCCATTTTTCTACTCGGATCTTCGAAATTTCCCAAATCAATTGTTTATTTTTATACTCTCAAGTATTTAAATGGAAATCATGTTAATTGAAAATCTAGTTTTATTTGCCATTCTCTTTTGTTTCCATTCGTGAAGTTGTCTTCAATCTTTTCGGATTTTCAGTTCAAGCGGTTAGATTTTGTTTTATTCTTAGAATTTAAAGTTGTGATTTAGTTTTCAAAGTTTTTATAAAATGCAAAAACAGGGTAGAATATATTTACATAAGTATACATATTAACTGTCTTATTTATGTTTCACAAACTCAGGGGAAAGCTAATCCCGAGATTAATTTTGATATTATTCTTTTATTTTATGTGATTCCTCTAAAAAATTGCAAATAATCTTGGGATTAGCTTAACTTTTCCATCATAAAACAAATAGATCTTAACTTTTAATTGTCTTAAAAGTAAGCCACCTAGATCACCAATCTTAAAGTTGGTAGCATAATAATGTTATTGAAAAATTTAGATTAATCTAGAATTATGCAATAATATTAAACTGATTGTGATTAAACTTACTAATCATGAAATTGAAGCAAATATTATTTCATGAAAAAACATCGAAAACATAATCTACACACTAAGAATGTTGATATCCCATTGTCAATCACTATAACAATTCAAACACATGAAAACTATTTTTAATACTTAACTAAGATCAATTTTTAGTCAATGTTAGTTTATATTTATGAATATATGTCTTTAGTCATGAACAATCTTTATTGATATATGAGACTGATCCCTAAGTTTTCTAAGGCCAAAATCATAAAAGATATGAGACCCATATATTACTGCAGTGCCATCTACAAGATCATTTCCAAAATTCTCACAACTAGGCTTGAAAAGGTGATAAACAAGCTTATTGAAGACACACAATTTGAGCCAGGGAGACCCTATCTCCCCACTCTTATTTGTAATCATCATGGTATATCTGTATAGACTGCTGCAATGGCTGAGCTCTAACCTTGATTTTGATTTCCACCATAAGTGTGAGAAATTAAAGATCATTAATTTATGTTTTGTAGATGATATTCTAATATTTGCTAGAGGTGACCTTGGATCTTTGAAGTTTATCGTCGAGAAAATCACCAGGGAGTTTTCTGCTGCAACGGGCTTGTATTTAGCAACCCCAAGAGCAAAATTTATCTTGGAAGAGTGGATAGTGAAACAAAGAGCCTCTTACAACAAGAAACTAGATTTAAAAGTGGTACTTGGCCTTTTAAGTACTTAGGAGTTCCTTTGGATAGTAAAAAGTTGACCGTTAATAACTGCCAACTCCTAATTGAGAAGACGACTAATAGATTGAAACATTGAAGCACGAAGCTATTATCTTATACAATGAGATTCTAACTGATTAAGAGTGTGCACTCTATCTCTAACTACTGGATGCAAATTTTCTCTTTGCCTAAAAAGGTGATTTCTCATATTGAAGGTTAGTGCAGGAAGTTTCTGTGGACAGGCAAAGAGAACTGGGGCAAGAAAGCACCAATAGCTTGGGATCATGTTTGTGACCCCGTTTCTACAGGTGGGCATAATATAGTGTCCTTCGCAACTTGGAACAAAGCTATCATAGGTAAAATGCTATGAAACATCTGGGAAAAGAAAGATAAATTGTGGATTCAATGGATACACATTTACTACATGAAGGATGAAAGATGTGAATGTTCATGGATCTTGAAAGCTATCTTCAAAAATTGGGATTTGATGATAAATTCTGAGATTTGGAAGAACCTTCAAGAGGCAGGCAGGTACAGTACACAAAAGATGTATATGATGCTTAGAGTTACAAACTCCAAGGTGGATTGGAGAAAATTGTTTTTTGAAAATCTTGCAAGGCCAAGAGCCATCTTTACCCTATGGATGACTTGTCAAAACAGGCTCCTTACCAAGGATAAAATCATAAAATATGACATGATTACTGATTACTGATGGAATATGTGTGCTTTGCAATTTACACAAAAGTTGTCACCATCTGTTCTGTAATTGTGAGACTATCAAGGGTGTTTGGAAACATGTTCTAGTTTGGATTGGTGTTGATCACAATCCGAGTGGCTGACAGACTAAACTGATTTGGATAACTCAACAAACTCGAACAAAAGGGAGTAGAATGAAGCTCTTGAAGATGGCCATTACAGAGATTGCCTATCAAATTTGGACAGTGAGAAACAAAATCATCTTCCAATACTGTAACAAAGATGCCTTACAAGTAAACATGTTATATAAATGATCCTAGGAAGAATTGAAATAGATAGGAAACTAACTGCCTATTGTAATAGGCTGTCATTTGTTTCATTTGTAGTTTTGTTTACTTAGTTGTCTAGAGACCTGAATCTTAGAATCAGCTTATGTGTATGTATTTTTTTGATAATAATATATTCTTTATTCTAAAAAAAGTCTTTAGTGATATATGACAGGTAAAAGTTTAGAATATTGTCTTCTAGAAAGTGTTTCAAAACTAGACAAAAATATATTAGAAGGGTGTTGTTTCATTTGTTAACATAATATAATAGGAAATGTTAAATGAAATTCTTTAGAATTGTAATTATAGCATACAATTTAATGGTTATATTCATACAACAAATATATTTTTTTATTAAAGTGGAATATATCATTTTTAAGATTAGAAGGGTGTTGTGTTGTTTCATTTGTTAGCATATATGATATATAATGTTAAATGAAACTCTCTGACTTATGATTATAACTTACAATTGAGCGAACGATGTAAAATTTAACTTTTGTTGTGTCATTGTCTATTAATAGAACGTTATAAGATGTTTTATTTATTTAATTTATATGATCTAAATCATTATTTATTAAATTAATTTAATGTTTTAGTAATTACTTTATAAAGACACAAAATTTTAATTAATTACTTCTTATTTTGTAGTAATTTATTGTTAAATTCTTACTCCACCCAGATTTTTAACTAATTACTTCTTATTTTGTAGTAGTCATCTATTTGTTATTGTGAAATTCTTACTCCACTCAATTCTCTAAAAAAAATCCAAAAACACCTTCAGATTCTAGATTCAGAACGTGTTTTTCAAGTGTCTAGATTATAAGATCTAAGCTGAAACATGAAGAAACAGCAACGAAGAAACGGCTATGTTCTATTCTATTGCTTGCAAAAGTAACCTCTAAGCCATCATATTTGGCATAAGATAAAGGCGGCAACTGGTGAGATCTTTCCACCAATGGTATTCACAGAGCATGGAGAGGTATTCACAAGGAGCCCTTGTCGCCAATTTCTGTTTCTTTTTCCACTGTTACAAGGTACTGTAACATACAATACCTATACTTCAGCATAACTTTTTTAATAATTTCACATCATAATTTGAGTGAGAAGATATGAATGTAGGCTATACTCACCAAGCGTGAATTAACAGATAGGAAGAAAAAAGTAGTAGAAAAATATATAGTTTATGTAGCCTGAAAACTTAGAGTCATTTACAAGCATTGAATTTCAAACACTAAATTAGAGATACAAAAGCAAAATGCAAAAAATGCAGGTGAGGGGCAAGAACCATTAGACTGACTGTACACGAAACTTATTGGCAACATAGAGCAAATGGCTAATGTTTGTTGACGGGTAATTTTGTAGCAACTTGAGATTTGAAGTGAAATCCCCCGCTAGGAGGCGCTTGCGAATGAGAACTAGCATTGCACAACATACCCGGAGAAGAGTCTCCTACAGAACAATGTGTTAGTTTTCCATCTTATAGACTTTCTGAGAAGTAACAGGAATTTCAAGTAGCAAGCAATAGTCACTGAAAACTAGTGACATATGATACACACACTCAAGCACTCTCATGGACAAAAGAGAGAACAAAACATTTGTTCTACCGTTCCAATATTATGACCATAATCTTCACCTTTCCTAACAATCAGGATCTTCAATAGTGGATTAATAGTAAAAATGCAAAGTGAAACACTAATGAAAAATCAACATCAGTATGAGCAAAAACTTCGTTGCTCCTAAAAGTAAATTCACAACTTCAAAAATCCAATTTGAAGCTTTATAACATTGTCATCAAAGAAGTGGGAGACGATGAAAGTGCTGCATGCCATTCCATTAAAACAAAAGATAAATCGGAACAAGATAGTACCTGCGGACCCTCTGGATCACCTAAAAGAGTGTCCCAAATGTGAAGGCTGTCGGCAAAATTAAATTCCTGAGTCAACAAGAGAGTGATCCATCTAAATGCATAGAATTGGGGATTGACCTGATATTCAGAAGAAAAATGAGCCATTTCTGATACAGTTTAATAGCCAAAAGAAAATACATGGTTGAATAATTTGGCAAGCATGCAAAAAAGGTATTTAACATAATGGTCAAAATAACATTTGTAACACAGGATCACAGAAGGTAATAATATCATTAAAGCAATGAAGCAGGAAAGAGCCCACTTTGTTTATTCAATATTTAGTTTATTTAACAAATTTAATATAACAAAGGAGTGAACAAAGACCACAAACAATTGCATAACAGTATATATGCCACAAAATGCAAACAATAAAATAAATAGCCAACCACAATATCAAGAACCAGAATAGTTCAAAATAGACGCATGCAGCCACCTCAATACATTTCCAAATGTAAACTAAAGCAAAACTGTAACTATACACAATGCATATCTTAAAAACTCACTTTGGAAGTGATCTCAAGATGACGCCACAACTCCTCATCGTGTTTTCTTAAAAGCTGGGACAATCTTGTAATAGTTGAACGAATTCCCACAACACTATTGTCCAGTTGTTGGACAAAATTATCTCGGAAACCACTCAATAGCTCAACAAAACAAAAGAATGCATCAGCTTCAGCAAAAGCCTGCATATTGTATTAAAGAGCTGTTAAGCACACAATAAACCAACAATAAAAGAGAACATAAATATAAGCATAAATCTACATAACTCGTTAGTACTATCTAAGAATTTATTTTCTAACAAAACAAACATTCTCATAATCATAGATCATAGCAAGATTTCTTGTCTAAATTCCCATGAGTAAATGATACCTTTTAAACTGATCACACCTAAATTTTGATTTGTCATGTCATCTCCACCCCTATTATGACTCCTCTTTAATTTACGCATACACTTGGAAATATTATTCAGTCCAACAAGGAAAAAAAACATGAAATTGTATGTGTGATTTGTGGAAAAGGTAAAGAATGACGGATATGCATACAGTGCTTCCGATGAAAAGACTAAGAAAGAAAAGTGATCAGCTTATCATGGGTAAGCACTTTTTAAACAAAATTTGCAAAATCAATTATACACAAATTATAGTAAGAAACAAAGGTTCATAGAAAAATTTGAAATTTGAAATTTAAATTAGTAGGATTTTACACAACAACAGCAACAACCAAGTCCTATCTCACTATGTAGGTAGTACTACTTTACACAACAAAAACAACAACCAAGTCTTATCTCACTAAGTAGGTAGTACTATTTTACACAACAAAAACAACAACAACCCAGTCTTATCCCACTAAGTAGGCAATAAGATTTTACACAACAAAAATATAATAATTGAATGTTAACGAAGTCAGCATCAGGGTCATATGCTCTGTGAACTGTGATGAACTATATACTGGAAAACTAAGAGATTACAAGAAGTAAAAAAATATATATAATATACTCACTTCATTTTCTTCATCAGGGTCATTTTTTAACACATAATATAGAGGAGCCAATATCTCATTCATCCCTTGAACATATTTTACACCTGGATTTAACTTTGCGAAAATAATTAATATGTTCTTTAAAGCCTCCTGAAAATGTCAGTAAAAAAATAATAAGTTGGTGCCGGAAAAGACATGAATTATAGAGATTATACCAATTTCTATAAAAATAAAGGAACAACCTGATTAGATTTTGCAAATTTTGAATCACCGGAGAAAAAGTGGAAATCAGGATGAGTGCGCTTTACATCTCGATCAATCTGATCTATGATTTCTGTATCCTACAAAATGAAAAGAGAATCGTTTACTTTATCAGAGTATTATAGTACATAAGCATCATCAAATTTATATAGTCGTGATATAATCAACATTAAAAAAAATAACGATTAACAAGTAGCAAGATTATCAGCAATATATGTTGTAAGAAATTTGCAAAGGTCTCTGTGTCAAACAAGATTATAGAAAAATGATCAAAGACAGAGTAGAAAAACAAGTAATTACCATTACTCATATAACAAACGTGTTCTAGTATTCCATTCTTTAGACAGAGGAAATTTCGATTTCACATAAAACAGTTTCCAGCTGTCACTTGTCACCAATTTAAGTAACATGCAATAAGTATCATGGACTGATGTGTCATTCAACGATTTTATATACAACATAGTTGATAGTTCATGTGTGATCAGAAACTTCGTATAGAAATATTCAAATATCTAATAAAAACAGATTATTTTGTACTATACCTGGAAGAACTGATTCCATACGCTGGTCTTCCCAAGACTCAAAGGGTGCTCATCGTGAGGGATTTCTGATCTAGAGAGCAAGGCCCTGTCACGCTTGGCGGCATCCTCAGCATCACCACTTGTGGAGTTGTACATCCTCCTTGTGATTTCGGACTAGCTAGCGACATAAACATTCAGAGCCAAAAAGATAAAGCAAATAGAACAACATGCATTAAAAATCACCAAGTGTATCAAGATTGCACTTAGACACGCATGTACTCTACCGATGTAAAATTGGATCAAATTCAAAAATTAACTCCTTAGAATTATCTCTCTTCCCCTAGCCGGAAGTTTAAAATAAAAGGCAATACAGATGATGTGAAGAGAAATGCAACTTGATTCTACAGCTATTAGTTCAACCGATCACAATTAAGGAATCTTTCTAGAACCCCCACCCACACACACGCGCACACGATTGTTCTTTAGTTTTGATAACATGAAGATGCTAGTTATTCCTAGGCAACTAACTTACAGGATTCATGAGAATCTCCTCTTTGAACTGTGTATACTGGGACCTCTTCTTTGCTAATTCAGATGACCAAAGCCCTCTATCCGGCGGAAGATATCCAAGCAAAAGCTGCAAACATCAATAAGCATAAGTTGCAATAGTATTCTATAATTTCACTGGCTTCTTTCCATCAACAACAAAAAACATTCTCTAGTCCATATTAACAAAAAAAGCACCCAAACTAAATCCCTATTTGGAAAGCATCATTAGACTTCCATCACTGCATTTCCATCCATAGCAAATAGAACACGGCAACAAACATTCAACTCCAATTCTAATAAAAACCTTGTTACTTCAAATAACTTCAAATAACTTCAAATAATATTCCATTCTCCGACATCAATAACCCTAACCAGCACCAATGAAGAAACTGATTGAAAGAGAAATGGCACCTTCCACAATGTAGAGCGTATCCCAGCGGAATCAGGCACACCTTGACACGCGATCCTTCTCAATTCCCGCATATCCATCACCTTCCTCGACAACTGAACCAAACCATCCAAAATCAAAAATCAAAAACCGCAAACAAACACGATAATGAACTAATATCGCTAAATATACTAGTTAAAGTGAAAACGAAAAGCGGAAACTACCTCAGTCACCAATTGAGCCTGGTGAGAGACATCGAAATCAGAAGGAGGCGCATCATGTTGATCTTCGGATCGAGAATCCTCGATAATCTGCTCGGGCGGAGGATCTTGAACTACGACGGGAGGGGACGGAGGTCGCGGCTGTGAGATTGAGTTGTAGAGAGATGAGTTGTCTTCGGCGGCGACGGAGGAGGGAGGAGATTTGGGCACTGACCAGAGAGAACTGTTGAGCCAATCGGGGACTTTCTTCTTCATCATTTTGTTCGGTGATTGAGAAATATTACGTTTTCTAGGGTTTCTAGATTTTCATTTTTTGATTGATGAGAGAAGAGATGAACAAGAGAACACTACACACCATTGCATTGGTTATGGAATCATCAACATCTATGTAAGAATTTTAATTCCTAAATTATATATTTTAAAATTACTATTAGTATAAATTCAGTTTTAATAAGAAATTTTTTTTTTTGTTAAAAAATATATGAATTTATTTTGGAATGCAATGGGGATCGAAGGCTAAGAAGAAAAAGATTACATATGAAATATGAAATATGGGGAATAAAAAAATACTATTAACATCATCAACAGTTAGAACTTGTATAATTTAAAGAGGGGATGTCTATCCCACCTAATAAATTTGCGCATCTATATTCTCAAAATACGTAGATAATTCCTAAATTTCAATAATTCAAAAATTTTATTTTAGCTCTAATAGTTCTTAATTTTTTTTACAAGACTCCTCTTCTCTTTAATATTATAAATACTATTAGTGATAAATCACGCCTAAGGAAAAATGAAGGGCGGCGCTGCGTTAGGGAAGAGTCGTCTTGATCAGCAAACGGTTCCCTCTCAAATAGGGTCGGGGGCTTCCTCTTCAACTCCTCTGACTACTCAGATGTTGCCTCTTCCTGTGAGCTCGAGGCCCAAGTGTGTCCGCACAAACGAGATCGTGGACCTCAGTCGGGAGTACACTGAAAGCAAGTTCGAGCTGCCTCCCTGCTTTCATAATAGAAAATTCTTCGAAGGGTCCTCTCTGTCCATTCCTCGGGCAAAATCTCTAAAGCTCAAGGAAATGGATTGTCCCAGCAAACAGGCCCTGCTTGCCCAGGATGCCTCTCTCTTGATGAGGGTTCTAGAGATAGCCGTGGTATACACCGAGGACGACTCTCCGCTAGAACTTGAGCTGAAGAAATCTCAAGCTGCGGTGGCGACCCTGAAGGAGAAGGTCAAGAAGCTTCAGGAGGGGAAGGAGAATGAGCTCGAAGATGTTGGCCGCAAAGGTTGCGAGGAGGTGGCTCTGGAGAGGGACGTTGTGGCTGTTAAGTTGAAGGCTGACGAGGATCTGGTGGAGAAGTTGCAGATTGTGGTTGCCCCTGCTGAGGATCAGCCCGAAGAGACGAAGAAGCTGATGACTCGGTCAGAGTTGGTCACTCGGTTCGTTCAGGTCGCTGACGACCTAGTGGCCATTGGCGAGGAGGCTTTTTAGAACGCAGTGGACAAGATAAAGCTGGTGAACCCTGGAGTCGAGCTGACTACGGAGGGCACAGGGTTCCTCTATGCGGTCAAAGACGGCCACATAGTCATTCCAGATTTCCTCCAGTTTGTCGAGGACGCGTTGCAAGAGGAAGCTCAACAAGAGGAGTAGTTTTATGCTTCGACTTGCGTGCCATTTGATTATCTGTATTTTATTATAATTTTATTTTGTGGAGCTTGGTCCCACCATGCACATTTGCGGTCCTTTGTGGCCGAGTTATATTATATGTACAAGTATGTTGTATGTTTGTATGTTTGTTGAATATTTTCTAAGTGTCTGATTCCGTCCAACGCGGTTGTAAGAGGCACTCAGTAATTTGTATTGTTCCGGGTATGCTTGAAGGACGGTGTTCGATAGTGTAGGGAACTGATCAAAATGCCTGGGTTGTTTCTGGGCAGGGGCGGAGCTCAGGCCACGATTATGGCCTGAGTTCGCGGCGTGAATATCCCATCATGAGCTAGGGGTTCTTCCGTTCATGGTATTATGACGACGACGGGCTCGGTCGAGGAACCGCCGTCGAGCATGGGTAGGTATCTTCACCACGCCCTTGCTTAGATTTGTTTGGTGGTGCATCGCTTGTACCTGGGCGTGCACCTGTAGTTGGTCACCATGCCCGCCGCTTGGGTGAGACACGTCGATAGTGGGGGCCTTAGCTGTAATATTGTTTCAGCTTTTCGGCGTTCTATGGTCGAGCTAATTCTTTCCTGGTTAGGTATTCTAGGTAGTACGCCCCGTTCCCCGATTTTTCTCTAATGCGGTATGGGCCTTCCCAGTTTGTGACGAGCTTGTCTTCTCGGGAATCTTTATGATTCCTTCTTAGGACGAGGCTCCTTATTTGGAATTCTCGTCGGATGACCTTGACGTTGTACCTAATTGTTATTTTCTGCTTGAGTGGGGCTTTGCGGAGGGCTGCCATGTCCGGATCTCTTCGACGAGGTCGAGTTCTTCCCTTAAAGCCTCGTTGTTCGTTTCTTCATCCAAAGGCGCTTCCATTTGTCTGGTCAACGCGTAACTTTCAATGAGGATTACCGTCTCTATCCCGTATGCTAGGCGAAAGGGGGATTCCACGATTGACGAATAAGGTGTAGTGCAATAGGCCGCTCCTCGACCCACTGCCTCTTTGTTTCGTCCAGTATTCGTTTGAGACCCCGTAAGATTACTTTGTTCACTGCCTCGACTTGCCCGTTAGTCTGAGGGTGCTCGACGGATGCAAAATGTTGTTTAGTGCCTAGTTGAACAGCGAACTCATGGAATTTTTTTTCCGTGAACTGTGTCCCATTGTCTGTGGTGATCGCTTGAGGAATGCTGAAATGGGCAAGGGTGTTTCTTTTATAGAACTGAAGTATGTTGTGGGTTGTTATTTTGGCCAGGGCTTCAGCTTTCATCCACTTGGTGAAGTTGTCCACGCCCAATATTAAGTATTTATTTTGGTTGAAGCCTACAACGAAGGGTCCTAGGATGTTTGTGCCCCACCAAGTGAAGGGCCACGGGGAGGACATCGCCTTGAGCTCGTTGGGGGGAGCCAGGAGCATGTCTCTATGCCGTTGGCATTTGTCGCATTTCTTCACATGCTCTTTCCCGTAGTTTTGCATGGTCGGCCATTAGTAACCTGCCCGCAGAGCTTTCCTCGCGAGGGACCTCCCACATAGGTATTGGGAGTTGATTCCTTCGTGGATCTCGCGTATGACATGGACGAACATCTTCTCTTCGACGCATTTGAGGAGAGGTATGGAGAATCCTCGTCTGTACATTTTGTTCTCGACCAGAACATAGGAAAACGACATATGCCTCACTATGCTGGCCTCTTTTGGATCAGATGGCGACTCGTTTTTAGTGAGGTGGTTGTATACTGGGGTCATCCAGCAGTGGTCGTTGCTAACGACGCGTACGTCGAGGGTCGTGGACGTTTTCTCGATGTTGGATCGTGGGAGTATCTCCTGAATGATGGATTTGTTTCCCCCTTTATTCTTCGTGCTGGCTAGTTTTGACAGGATGTCTGCTCGGACGTTGTGTTCACGGGGAACCTATTTTACTTCCACGGAGGTGTACTTTGCCATCTTTCCTTTGACCAGGGTCAGGTATTCGGACAAGTTATCGTTCTTGACCTGGTACTCACCCCGGACTTGGAGAGCTACTAGTTGAGATTCGGTGCAGATGACGACTTCATCTGCTCCTAAATCTTCCGTGAGGTGTAGACTGGCCAAAAAGGCCTTGTACTCAGCTTGGTTGTTGGAGGTTGGGAATGACAGTATGAGTGAGACTTCGATGAGGATTCCCTCCTCGTTCTCTAGGATGATGCCTACTCCGCTACCCGCCGAGCTGGATGTTCCATCAACAAATATGACCCACCTGTGAGCACACTCGTTTGGTTGGCTAGGCAAGGTCATTTCTACTACGAAGTCATCTAGTGCTTGTGCCTTGAGGACCTTTTTGCTCTCATACCAGATGTTAAACTCGAATAGTTCTAGCGACCATCTGAGCATCCTTTCGGCCATGACTGGGCAGCCCAGTAGTTGCTTTATGAGTCGGTCCGTGCGTACCACAATAGTGTGGGCCAGAAAATAGTGCCTCAGTCTCCTTGCAGTGTTGATAAGGGCGAGCACCATCTTCTCTATTTGTTGATACCGTAATTCTAGCCCTTGCAGCGCCTTGCTTGTGAAATAGATGGGCTTCTACCCATCGTGTATTTCACGGATGAGGGCGACACTTACGACCTCGGTTGCGAAAGCGAGGTATAGAAAGAGGGTTTCCGCATTCTCTGGGCGGGAGAGGACTGAAGGTGTAGACATGGCTTGCTTTAAGTGGAGAACAGCTTTGTCACATTCCTCCGTCCATTCGAATGTGGCTTCTTTGCGGAAAAGTTTGAAAAGGGGGAGGGCATGCTGGGAAGATTTGGCTGCGAAGCGAGAAATCGATGCGAGCATCCCGTTGAGGGACTGGATGGAATTTTTTGAGTTCGGCATGGGGAACTCAGAGAAGGATTTGCACTTTCCAGGGGTTTAGCTTCAATTCCTTGTTCGGTTAGATAGAAACCGAGAAACTTGTCCGCTCGTACCCCGAACATGCATTTCTCCGGATTACAACGCATCCTGTTCTTCATGGCTTGCTCGAAGACCTTCCTCAAGTGGGCCGTATGATCAGATTCGTCATGGAAATTCACGATCATGTCGTCCATATAGACTTCGAGCATGTCCCGGATTTCTCCTTGGAAGACTTATTTTATCATCCTTTGATAGGTAGCGTTGATGTTCTTCAGGCCGAAAGGCATTACGTTGTAGTAATAGTTGCCCAATTCAGTCATTAAGGTCGTGTACGTCTTGTCACTTTTTTCCATGGGTATCTAGTTATATCCCGAATAGGCATCCATGAAAGATAGCAATTTAAAACCAACAAAATTATCAACTAGTTTATCTATGTTGGGGAGGGGGTATGCGTCTTTAAGACAGACCCTATTAAGATCAGTATAATCAACACATATGCGTCATTTTCCATTATTCTTTTTAACGAGTACAACATTTGACAACCAAGTGGTGTACTTGGCCTCCGATATAAAGTTTGCCTCTAAGAGGTCTTTTATAGCCTGTTCGGAAGCCACCATTTTTTTCGGGAATTGTCGTCGTCTATGTTAGGCAACTGCTCTGACTGCGGGGTCGATGGTGAGGTGGTGACAGGCCACATCAGGGTCCAGTCCGGGTATCTCCGAGGCACTCCACACAAACAGGTA